GAAACCCTGCCTGAGTTTCCAGTCTACTGCCCCGTGGAATTTGGACTCAAAACTGCAACATCAACTCTTTTCTAAATTTCCAGCCTGCCAGTCTGCCTATGGTTTTGGACTTGCCAGCTCTCACAATCACATGAGCCAATTCCTTAAAATCAATCAGTCTCTCTCTATCTCTACTTATATATATAGATATAGGTTCTGTTTCTCTGGAGAACTCTAAGCAATACAGATTTAGCTACTGGGAGGTGAGATGCTGCTGTAACAAATACTTAAAAATCTAGAAGTGGCTTTGAAATTGGGTAATGGGTAGGGGCTAAAAGAGTTCTGAAGTGGATGGCAGAAAAAGCCTCGATTGCCTTGAAGAGACTGTTGGCTGAAATACAGACATTAAAGGATATCTGGTGAGTGCTCACAACGGAAAGAGGAGAGCTATAGAAAAAGCTTCTACTGTCTTAGAGAATACATATATTGTCTTGAATTAAGAGAATGTTGCTAGAAATATGAGTGTTAAAGGTGTTTCTGGTGAGGTCTCAGACAAAAATGAGGAACGTGTTATTGGAAACGGGAAGAAAGATGATCCTTATATAGCACAGAGGACCTGACTGAATTGTGTTCTGCTGGATGGAAAGTAGAACTTGTAAGGATGAACCTGGGTATTAGCTGAGAAGATTTCTAAGTAGTGTTGAAGGCATGGTCTGATTTTTCCTTGCTGCTTACAGTAAAATGTTGAGAGGAGTAAGATAAATTGAGGGAATTGTTAGGCAAAAAGGAACCAGAACTCGAAGATTTGGAAAATTCTCAGCCTATCCATCTTGTAAAGAATGAGAAAGCAAGCGCTGGAGAGAACACCAAGGGTGTGGCTGGACAACCGTTGGTTAAGAGATTAGGCATGTGACTTGTGGATCCAGTCAACCATTTCAGCAGAAGCCCTGTCAGCTTGGACTGAAGGGGACAGAGACGGGACAGGATGAAGCAATGCTGTCAGGCTTCCGAGATCCTACAGGTAGGAAAAGGGCAATAGAGCTATCAAGAAAAGCTATCAAGAATGACCTGGGAGATGAGGCCACCTCTTCAACTCCAGTGAGGCAACTTTCTTGGTTTTAGAGGGCAGGCCCCACCCAGGGCTGAGGGGGTGAGGCCATCCTGGTGGGCCTACAGGACAGAACATCTAGCCAAAGAGGATTATTCTCAAGCATTAAAATCTAATAGAATTTGCCCTTCTAAGTTTCAGATTTGTTTGGAACTCATGACCTTTTTTTTCCTTCTCATGTTCTCCCTTTTGTGATGGGAATGTCTATCTTATGCCTGTCCCACCATTATATATTGAATGGAGGTAACTTGTCTGGTTTTATAGGTTCAAGGCTGGAGAGGAGTTTTGCCCCAGGATGAATTATACCAAGTTTCACCCATACCTGATATAAATGATAATTAAGATGAGATTTTGAACATAAGAGTTGATGCTGGGATGAGTTAGGATTTTTGGGGTGTTGGGATGGGGTGAATTTATTTTGCATGTGAGAAGGACATGAATTTTTGGAGCCAGAGGGCAGACTGTTATAGGTTGAACTGTATCCCCCCAAATTCATATGTTGAAGTTCTAACCTCCAATGTGATGATGGTATTTGGAGATGAGGTCTTTGGGAGATAATTAGGTTTAGATGAGGTCATGAGGATGGGGCCCTCATGACGAGATTAGTGCCCTTATAAGAAGAGACACCAGAGAGCTTGTGTTTCAGTGTGCTCACACTCTCTCTGCCACGTGAGCTAGCAGGAAAGCAGCCATCTTCAAACCAGGAAGAGTCCTCACCACGAACTGACGATGCGTAACTCTGATTTCAGACTTTCAGGTTTCAGAACTGTGAGAAAATAAATTTATGTTGTTTAAGCCACTCAGTCTATGGGATTTTGTTATAGAGGCCCCTGCAGAGTAATAGAGTGACCTTATTTGGAAACAGGATCATTGCAGTTGTAATTAGTTAAGTCATGATGAGGTCAATAGGGTGAGCCATAATGCAGTATCACTGGTGTCCTTATAAAAGGGGGATATTTGGACACAGAGACAGACATACATAGAGGCAAGGGATGTGAAGAGATGACGGGAGAAGATGACCACCTATAAGACAAGGTTTCTCCCTCACAGCCCTCAGAAAAAACCAATCATACCAACATCTTGGTTTTAGACTTCTAGCCTTCAGAGCTGTGAGACAATAGATTTCTGTTGTTTAAGGCAACCAGTTTTGTGGTATTTTGTTGCAGCATCCCTAGCAAATGAATACAATACCCCTGAAAAACCTTGAGTAGCTTGGTTCATAGAATCAGGGAAATACAGAACTTGTGAGAAAAGCCAGACACATATTGTTATGCTAATAAATAATCCTCCAAGTTCATGTTCTCTGTTTTAACAAATGAACAGTAAGTTTTGGGAATGAAAATTTGCTATGCCGAAAATGATCAAAAGTCATGAATATACTAGGCATTCTTCTCTGCTACAGATATTTGAAGGTTTGGGTATTTATTGTTTATGCAAAATACTGTAATTTCTTTTTACTTCACTCTGTATGAAATTTAGGTTGGAGCTAACACTTATATAGGACTTGGTATTTTAGAAGAATATTCAATATGTTCTTTTAAAATCATGCCAGATGTCCACATTAATTTAGATATTGGCTGATACAATGTATTATTTTATGACAAGCAATGCAAACTGAACTGAATATATTAGAAAACTTAAAAATAATATTATTCAGATATTTTAGAGTTTCTGATGTTAAAAATATTGATTTTATTTTCAGCAATGAGCTACTGAGATTCAAATATTTGGTTTACAGTTACAAAAGAAAGTACCTTAAAGACTATGGTAGAAATGGAAGTCAATGCTTTTAATATAATCTCCATAGCAACATGGGAAGGAGCAAAGTCTGGCGGACCAAATGAAAGCCACAAACTCTCATTTTCAGACCCTACCATTAACTCACCACAGAAAGCCATGTTTATATCTTGACATTTCATCTTTGCTATAAACACAGGCACTTCTGGCTTTGCTCAACAAAAGGGCATTGCCTAAGTCCTATGTATTAAATGGATACTTTTATATTTATGTTCTCAAACAATATAAGATTATTCACACTGAATATCTAGGTTGTAGTAGAGAAATAAGATGCGGTAAATGCAAATACTGAATAAGTTCCCCAAATTTCATACAAAGATAACACAAAAATGACTTCATTTGAAAAATCTACTTTATTTTCACAAATTATCATGATGAAAAGAAAGTTTATCTTTTTAAATAGGTATTTGGAATTTTATCAGCTGCTAACAGAGCATCCTGACCATACTGAACTGTTTTCATTTTCATATTTTCAGTAAGGAAATGTCTTCTATAGAAAATTGTACAATAACAGTGCATAATACTATAGTTTAATGAATTAGTTAAGCTTTTCCTATGATATCTTACCAATATGACGATTATTTGCTAAAAACACATACAACAAAGAAATTTTACAAAAAACCTCTGAGCTACAAAAATAGATTTAACATTTACTTAGTATTTATTACATGCCAGATACCATCCTGGGCTCTTTATATGAATAATCTCATTTAATCCTCACAATGACCTTATTAAATCGGTATTATTACTATGCTTATTTTATTGATAAAAAGATGAAGCTCAGAGATGTTAAGTAATTGGCCCAAGGTCTCCAAGTGGAGGAGTAAGAATCAGGGCCTGTGCACTTGACTGCTATGCACGACTGCTTCTCACAGATGTGTCTATTTTATCTGTTAATTTTATTCATGTAGTAAGACACTCAGGCCCTGACTCAGTCCTTTTAACTCTAATTTAAACGGAATTCCACTAAAGGTATTGATCTGATCACACGGGATTAGAAGCAGCAAATGAGAAAGGTTTGGAGGAGGGCTTCTGTAGGCAGGCGCAGTAAAGCAGGAAACATTAAAAATATAGAAAGTTGAAACAGGAACTGAAAGTATAGCAAAATAGGATTATTCAGGGTAAGAAAAAGATAAATGCAGCTTTGGAAGGGAGTGGGTGGAGCGATGGAAAGGTAACTACCATGTGTTGAGCACCCATTATATGCCAGGTGTTCGCCTTCATCCTCTGCTAATCTTCACAGAGGGCCTGCCCAGCAGGCTGTTCTATGCCCATTTTGAGGCTCAGAGAGGTTCAGCACCCTGCCCACGCTCGCTCTTGTTCTATAAAAATTATTACAAAGGAAACGCTTCTTGGCACTGAATAGAAGTAACAAGCTATCTGGAAAATTTACTAACCCAAAATACTACATTTGATGGATAAGTGAGGCATTATAGTACTTTTTTTTAACTTCGAAAAATGTGAATTTAGAAAATCCTAAATTTAGAAAATCTATAAGCTACGGTTGTGTTAATGGGGGATTTTTCATTTGATGTCCTACTTTAAAGTTTGTCTAGTATTCTTTTTTTAAACTACCAGGATAGGGGTTTTTACTTAGTGAACATTCTTAGCAAATTTAAGGCATTGTGCCAAGAAATAGAGAGCGGCAAGAGAATGTCATTTGGAAGGGTTGGAAATTCAAAACAGAAACACACACACACACACACACACACACACACACAGTTCAGCCACACACCTTCAGTTAGCAACGCCAATTAAATAGAGGAGCTGGGCTGGTCCCATGATATAACAAATATTTTGTTCTTACATTCCTTATTGCCTAAAGACTATTGTGAATAGGGGAACAGCAGGAAAAGACTCCTACAAAGAATGAGCTACACTAAATAATATATACAATAAAACTCTTCTGTATATGACCAAAAAAGTAATAAAGGAAGTCCAGTTTTCTTGTGATGCTGAAAATGTGCATTTGTTTCATTTAGCTGTATCTCAGGAAGCACTTGATGCCCCTTTACAGCTGCTGACTTCCCAATACTTTGATACGTGTCCTCCGCCCCTCCCCACATTCCCACCCCCGCCCCGGTGTAAGCCCTGGTGCCCACTTAGGCATGATTACCCCTGGTGCAGCCCTGCCATCGGTGTCTCTCTCAAGGGAAAGAGCTTGGGGTAGACAATCGTAAACATGGGCTCGCTACACCGGTGACAGTGCCCCAGGGGGCAGTGTAGCAGCTCCAGGAGACTTCTGGGTAACGAGACTGGAGACAGAAAGTCCAAATCTGGAACACAAGAGAAAATCACGTGTGAATGAAAAAATCATATTTCCTTAAACTAGGTTCTTAAAATATTTCTCTCTGTTACCAAGTTAGTTCAGCTAAAGTACTGCATGTTGAAAATTCTGTTATTTGATAGGCACTGAATAAAAACATAACATTATTTGGAAATGGAAGCTGTTTTTTACATTTTTGATACTAAGAGAAAACCTAAATCTACTCTTTTAAAAAAGAGTAACCAGAAGCTGTCGTGAGGTAGAGGAAGGAAAGAGCAAATATTACTTAAGAACAGAGATCAAAAAGGCATTAATTTACCCAGAAAGGGTTTGTAAACTTCTAAAAGAGACAGAGAATAAAACAAGGACTGGGACTGCAGACTGAAACTGACTTTCCTTAAGTTCTTTCTAAATCTATTGGGCAATTAGTATTAATCAAGCTAAATTATATTTACTGAAAAGAATGAAAAGGGGAAACAAAGAAATCAAAGAAAATGAAAAATAATGAAACCAAGCTTTTCCTTGCCTCACTCCCATGAGCTGCCATTAATAAAAATAGAGTGCTTCCTTCTCAGCTTAGCTGAGCTACACCAAAGAAACACCTAATGCAAAACATCCCAGTGGCCCAGGCAATCTTGAGCACAAATGTACACAGGGTTGCTACTGATGGTAAACATCCAGGAGAGAGAAATGGTCATATTGAGGTGAAACCTAAAAATTATCGACTCATCTTCGGGAAGAAAATACAAATTAATTTATCATCTTTTATATCTGTCCAGACGTATCAATCACTATTTAGAAAAATGTAATTTACTCATAGGTGAATAATTATAAGTTTCTGCTTAGTTTTAAAAAACAACTTAACTTTGTATTAGACATTCCTGGAGCTTAATGTTGGCTATCTTTGTATGTAACTTTTTTTTAAAGCAAAGACAAGACATTTATCAGTTTTAAAAACACTTAAATGCATTTTTCTTATTAATATTGCCTTAAATATTCTTAAAGCATCTCAGATATTCACTCCACAACACCTATGAAATCTACACATTGCCAAATCCTTTCCAAACCAAGAGCTGGCATGCTGTGGTAATACTGCCAAAAGCTCCTGATATTTCTTCCCCTTGAGGTAAATAAATTTCTCAGATGTGAGGAGGCTACAGGGTAAAAACCTGCTTTGCTGAAAGAGGTATCCAGCTTTGCTTTAAGGATAAGATCTCTGCGAATTTTTTCCTACTGAAGAAAGTGCCTCTGCCAGCCTTCTCACTTCCACCAAATAAACGTTCCCAAACACCAATTTCCTTCATTTAAACCATGTAGTTTAACTCTTAACCTCTGTCCTTTGTGATTGAAGACCATATTTTAGTGAATGCTTCTCTGTGTCTGGAGGGAGTACTGAAAGGATCAGTGTTGATAAAATATTAAAACTTCTTTTCTTATGAAAAAAAAGTCCCATTGCACAACAATGTGAATGTACTTAATGCCAATGAACTGAACACTTAAAAATGGTTAAATGGTAAATTTTATGTTATGTACATTTTACTATAATAAAAAAAAATGAACACCAAATAGGTAGCATAAAACACAATTTCTAAGTTCACTGAATGAGAGGCAGTGAAAAAAAAGAAAAGTTCTATATACCTTTTAGGAAACTGTGGTAGGTGTGATGCAGACTCCTCATGGCCAACTCTTGCAGAGGCAGGACGTGATCATTCTCTGTCCCTATGGCCTTCACCTCGGCAGGGAGGAAAACGGTTAGTTGCCCTGATGAAAAGGAAAGCAGCTTCACCTCGGAAACTTGAATGGGAGCACCACAGCTGCAGAAAGACACATGTTCACAGTAGTGTCAGCAAAAAGGAAAAGATGTGCCAAAAAAATGTGTTAATCAAAATATACTTTTAAAACTTTAATATACTGCTGAATTGCCAGAGTTCTTTTTAAAGTGAACAGATGCTATCCTGGGTTCCTTAATAAAACCTGCCATAGAAATCGAAACTCATCAGTTGGAACTCAGCTAAGCTAAATCATTGCTGAGGTCCAGTCACTTCCAGTAAGAACAAACTTTGAAGAACGTTCCTTCATAGGATCTACGCAATTTGCTTTGTAAGCCCTATTTATCCTCATTTTATTACCCCTACCAAGTTTATGTTTATTGAAATTTTCAAAATTAAAAGGAAAAAGGAGCTCTCTGTTGAGTTACAGTACCTTGGTTTAATAGAACTTTTGTGTGGAAAAAACCCTACGAAGCAAATAGATTTTTAATGGTAGAAGATAACTTTATTGGATCCTTCCATAAACTTCTGGGGAAAATTTCTTGCCAAAGCCTACTGAATAAGCCAAGTCACGCCCTATTCCCTGCAGCCACTCATAACCAGAGGCAGAGATGTCCTTGTTCCCTCGGCTGCAGGGTTACCATGGCTCAGGAGTCTGACTGATCTTACTCTACCTCCTGTCCGAGACCACCAGATTACCTAAACACCTCAACACTTCTCTTCTCCAATGACAAACAGGTGCCAACAAACCGTGGCTCTCCGGACACAACATGAGATTATCTCCCTAACCTCAACTAGAAACAGGCAATGAAGGAGAGGACACAGGAACGGAAGGCAGAAGCCCTTGGCTCGTTTGTTCATTAGAAGTTCTTTCATTTGGTCATCCCTTCTATCAGAAAACATTTCCAGAGTACCTACTATACGGCAGTCAGTCAAGATACTTAAATGAAAAACAACAAGATGACTCTCTTCCCTTGGAAAATGTAATAATTACAATATAATTTTAATCATATTATAATATAATTACAGAGAAGATAGAGTGACTGACTCTGTCCAGAGAATCAGGGAAGATTTTACAGAGGAGACAATATCTGACCTATAACACAACTGATTTCACTCAACCAATTTCTCCATCTGGCTCAAGCAAAAGAATCTCAGAAGGCCACTTTGGGCCCCCCTTCTAGGCAGAACCCATATCCCAAAGGGAACCAGTATTCCAAATTCTAACACTATAGTTTGGTTTTGCCTTTTTCAACAGCACGAAATATTCTGTATCTGACTCCCGTTGTCAACATTACATTTCTGAGATTCATCCATGTTGCTGCATGTACTGTAGTTTATTCATTTTCATTGCTGTGTAGTAACTGAAAAACATTTGGGCTATTTCCAGTGCGGGTCTATTATGAACATTTTTGTGTATATTATTTGATACATATGACCATACAAGTCTGCTAGATACATATGTAAGATTGGAATTGTGCTTATTATAGTGAAAGCAGACAGACAATAAAGAGATAAATATATAATAAAATAGAGTGAGAGCTGTACCACTATAGATAGCATAACCAAAGAAAGTCTTTCTGAGGAGCTGACATCTGAGCAGAGACCTGATTGGAGAGAAGAGTTGACTCAGAGAAGAGGAACTCAGTCATAGTCTGATAGGCACCCTAAATTGAATACAAGGAACTAAGAGTTCAGGGAGTCCAAAACAGCTAGAGTTCACAGGACAGAGAACCTCAAAGGAGGGAGATGCACAGAGAGAGAACTCTGGAGATCTTAGAAGGTCTTCCTTGAGTATTCAGATGAGTACTGATCAACACATACATGTGAGGAAACTACCAGAGGATGGAAAAAGTACCAGCTAAAAGGATTAAAGGTAACAGTGCCCAGTACACACACAGGGTTGAAAATAATGCTTGTTCTTATCAGTCAGATTGAGAAGAGTGGACAGAAGCATCTTATGTCAGTAGTGGGGAATAATTAACACTAGACTGAACACAATTCCATTCACACCTAACAAATCCTAAAAGCCATATCTGAAAAGATCAAATTGTTTCCAATTAACTTAATTGTGTCCTGGAACATACATCAAGAATAGCTATATGAATACAAAAATATCCAGCACTCAACATGGTAAAACTCACACTGTCTAGCATCCAATCAAAAATTATCAGGCTTTCCAATAAGCAGGAAAATATGACCTACAATGAGGAGAAAAATCATACAACTAAAACCAACCAAGAACTGCTAGATGTTAGAACTAGAAGAAAACATCATTATAATAATTATAATTACCGTGGACGTGTTACATTCATAGCTGTCACCTAAAGAAGCTAGAAATAAGAGAGCAAATTAAACCCTAAGTAAACAGATGAAAAGAAATAATAAAGAGTATCAAGAAAATTGATGTGGAAAAAAAGGAAGATAATAGAGAAAAATCAATGAAAACAAAAGCTGGATCTTTGAGAAGATCGATAAAATTGATAAATCTCTAACAAGACTAATCAGAGAGAAGACACAACTTACCAATATCAGGAAAGAGAAAGGAGACATTGCCCAGTTTCTACAGATAATAAAAAGGTAATAAGCAACTTTATGCCAATTCAAAGTCCTTGAAGGACAAAAATTACCAAAGCTCACTCAAGAAACAGAAAGTTGAACAGCCTATACTTATTAAAAAGTTGAATTTGTACTTAAAAGGTTGGAATACTTCCCAACTCATTCTATGAAGCCAGCATTACCCTGATACTCAAACCAGATGAATACATTACAAGAAAAAAGAAAAAAAAACCAGTATTGCTCATGAACATAGTTGGAAAAAGTCTAAACAAAATTTTAGCAAACTGAATTCAACGATATATAAAGTCACTATGACCAAATGAGGTTTATCTTATTAATCAAGATTTCATTAACATTAGAAAATCAATGTAAATCACTACATTAGTCCCCCCTTATCCACGGTTTCACTTTCCACAGTTTCAGTTACCTGTGGTCAATTGTAATCAAAGAATATTACATGGAAAATTCCAGAAATGGAAAATTCCAGAAATGGAAAATTCATAAGTTTTAAGTTGCATGCCATTCTAAGTAGCGTGATGAAATCTCATGCTATCCCACTCCATCCCATTTGGGACATGAATCATCTCTTTGTCCAGTGTATCCACACTGTATACGATCCCCACTCGTTAGTCACTTAGTAGCCCTCTTGGTTATCAGGTCGACTGTTGTGGTATCACAGTGCTTATATTAAAGTAACCCTTATTTTACTTAATAATGGCCCCAAAGCACAAGAGGAGTGATGCTAGCAATTTGGGTATGCCAAAGAGAAGCTGTAAAGTGCTTCCTTTAAGTGAAAAGGTAAAAGTTCTCGACTTAGTAAGGAAAGAAAAAAATTGTATGCTGAGCTTGCTAAGATCTACAGTAACTTTTATTACAGTATGTTGTCATAATTGTTCTATTTTATTATTAGTTATTGTTGTTAATCTCTTACTGTACCTAATTCATAAGTTAAACTTTATCACAGGTATGTATATATATATGAAAAAACATAGTATATAGGGTTCGGTACTATCTGCAGTTTCAGGCATCCACTGGGGATTCTTGGAACATATCCCCAACAGATACAGGGTGACTATTTTATATTAAAACCTAAAATAGAAAAACCATATAGTCATTTCAATAGATGCAGAAAAAGTGTCTAACAAAATTCAACACTCATTCCTGATTAAAAAAACTCTCAGCAAACTAGGGATAGAAGGGAATTTACTCATTTGATAAAAGATATCTATGAAAAAACAACAGTTAATATTATACTTAATGTAGAAAGACTGTTTTCCCCATAAGTTCAGCAAGGCAAACATGTCTGCTCTCACTACTACTATTTAACATCATACTGGAGCTTCTAGTTGGTGCAATACAGCAAGAAAAAAAAAAAGGCAACCAGATTTGACAGGAAAAAGTAAAACTGTCTTTATTCCCAGAAGACATGACTGTGTATACAGAAAGTCCAATAGAATCTACAAAAAACCTACTGGAACTAATAAGTAAGCTTAGCAAGTTTGGAGGATACAAGAGCAATATACAAAGTCATTTGTACTTCCATATGGTAGCAACAATCAACTGGAAACCGAGTTTTTAAAATACCATGTACAAAAGTATGAAAAATATGAAACATTTAGTGATAAATCTTATAAAAGATGTCCAAGACTTGTACACTGAAAACTACAAAATATTGTTGAGAAATGAAGACATTTATTGCGATGACAGGTTGGAAGACTCAATATTGTTAAGATGTTAATTCTCCTCAAATTGATCTATAGATTAAATGCAATCAAAATCGCAGGTTTTTTAAAAAATATAAATTGAAAATCTGATTCTAAAATTTATATGGAAATGCAAAACAACTAGAACAGTCAAAAGATTTTAAAAAAAATTCAGAGGACTAACACCACCTGATTTTAAGACTTATTATAAAACTATGTTAATGAAGACAATGTGGTACTGGTGTTAAAAAGACAAATATAGATCAATGGAGCAGATAGAGTATCCAGAAATAGACCCATACATGTATGGATAACTAATTTTCAACAAAGGTACAGAGGTAACACAGTGGAGAAAGGACAGTATTTTTAACAAGTGGTGCTGGAACAATTGTACATCCATATGCAAAAAAAGGAATTTCAACTACACCTTGTACCATATACAAAAATTAACTCAAAATGAATCTAAATGTAAATATAAACCCTTAAAAATTCTAGAAGACAACATAGAAGAAAATCTTTGTGATTTGGGTTACACCAAAACCAAGCTCCATAAAGGAACAAATCGATAAACTGGACTTTATCAAAATCACAAATGTCAGCTCTTCAAAAAGCCCTGTTGAAAGAACGGAAAGACAAGCCATGGACTGGGAGAAAATATTTGCAAAGCATATATATGATAAAGGACTTGTATGCAGAACCTAAAAAGAACTTTCAAAACTCAATAATAAGAAAACAAACACCCAAGAAAAATGGGAAAAAGACTTAGACAATATACCAATGCAG